AAAAAGTAAGAAACTCTGGCGTTTTGGCCCCAGTCTGCATCATTAGCACTCACGGTAAACACAGAAAGTCCAGGGGAGTTGTTCTCTGCGACAGTTTTAGTGTATTCTGAATGATCAAATTTGGGTGGACTGTCATTGACATCAGATACTTTTACGTTGATGTTTTTACTGCTTGACAGAGGCGGGGAGCCCTGATCAGACACAGTTATCGTGATATTATACTCAGGAATACTCTCTCTGTCTAAAAAGTCTTCAGTTACTATGGTGTAATATCCCGTTAATGAAGACTCGATTTTAAAAGGTACGTCAGAGTTAATGGAGCACTTGACAGCACCGTTGCCATCAGAGTCTTCGTCATCCACGTTAAGAACAGCTATAGTTGTACCTGGAGGAGAATCCTCAGATATCGAGTTAGAAAATGACATGAGCTGTATTGTAGGGACGTTGTCATTTTCGTCAGTTATTTGAATGACAACTTTACATGTATCTGAAAATCCTCCGTGGTCACTAGCCTGCACGTTCAGTTGATAAGTCTTAGATTTTTCAAAGTCGAGTTTACCTGCGACTTTAATCTCTCCTGTTTGAACATTTACTTCAAAAAGTTGTTTCGTCTCTTTTGCAACAGGAGGGATAGAGTATGTTACCTCCCCGTAGTGGCCCTTATCTGCGTCATTTGCACTCACAGTGGTTATCACGGTTCCTTCGGGAGAATTCTCTTTGATATCTGCTTTATAAACAGGCTGGCTGCACACTGGCGAATTATCATTAGCATCCAGCACGGTAATATGAATACGCACCGTCCCTGATCTCCGTGGCTCCCCGCCATCTGAAGCAATCAGCACGAGACTGTGAGTCTCCTCTTTCTCTCGGTCTAACGGGTTTTGTAAAACCATTTCAACAAACCTGCCTCCATCCGGCTGGTTTCGCACTTCTAGCTTAAAATGATCAGAGGGTTTAAGTGTGTATTTTTGAATATCATTAACGCCAACATCGGAGTCATCTGCATTCAACAGAGAAAAGCGAGTCCCTAATGCAGCGTTTTCAACAATATTTAAGTTGATTTCGTCTTTTGGGAACGACGGACTGTTATCATTTATATCCGTCACCTCCACTGTCACACGATAAAGCTGGATAGGATTTTCTAAAATCACCTCGAAGCTGAAGCTACAGGGCGTCGTCTTTCCACACAGTTCCTCCCGGTCGATTCTCTCTTTAATGACAAGGATACCTTTGTCTTTGTTTAAATCCACATACTGTCGGCCTCCTTTTGTAATAATACGAGCTTTACCTGAAACCAGCCTCGCAACATCCAAGCCTAAATCTCTCGCAATGTTTCCGACAAACGATCCTTCGGCCTGCTCCTCCGGGATGGAATAACGAGCCTGACCAGCCACTGCGCTCAGCTCGATGAGACAAAGAATCAACACCAGCGCTCGCCGTCGGCCTCTGTCAGCCATTATCCACATGGAGGCAATCATAAATCCAACAGTGCAGACACAGCGATTGTTTTTTAACTTCGAACTGATATTATTAATCCAAAAACGCGACACATTTATGTATTTTCAGCAAGCAGACTCCCGGAGAGATTCTACACTTGAATCCGTAACGGAACAGAGCAGCGTCTCGCTTAGTATTATAACACTTAGTGAATATAAAAGGGAGGACCGCTGCATTAAGGGTCTGACACAAACTCAGTGACGCATCAACAGCGGCACTCAGAGCTCATTCACGGTAATGTATCTTGTAGAAGCTTAAATATTTTTATATTCCAGAAATATTTGATTGACAAAGTGAAGAATAATTAGAGAAGAACTCAAAAGAAAAAGGAGCATTAGATTCTCAAACAATCTTCAGGTCCTGTTCAAACAAAGTGTCTTCAGTATGAGATGACAATGTTACCAAATCTAACTTAACTTTAATTTTCTTATCATCTCAATTCATTATTAAAAAACAACAACAATAACAACTACAACACTGAATATTAACACTTCAATAAATGACATAAAACAGCATG